AATTATGTAAAGCACCTTGAAATGCCTTGCTGCTGAAATGTGCTATACAAATAAAATTTGATTGATTATCTTTAGATAAGTGGCAGGGTATGAATGCAAAAGCATGCTACACTTTTCAGATTTCTTTCAATTTTTTGGTGAAAATTTTAATGTACTTTTTAATGTACTTTTTTCTTGATGTGAAGCTATTTCTGACTGGGTTCCTTACCATAATAATGCGTCTTCAACTTGCGATATCTTTCTGTGAATAAGAAGATCTTGCTGTAGACTGAAAAAGGAAGGGAGGATGACGGTGAAATGCTTTCTGAGGCATTTCCTATTTGTCAGCCTGTGAACCTCCTGAGATGTGAAAAACAGATCTAGAACCTCCCTGGGTCATTCACTCATGATTGTGTGGAAGGAAGTAGTCATTATGCCCTTTCCTTACTCTCAGTTCTCCTGTGGGTTTTTTTTTTTTTTTGTGCCACTTTTCTATGTTTCTCCTCAGGTTTCCTCTCTCCTTTCTCTCCTCTGCCCTAATTTATGGCCCGTTTTGTACTTTTCCGCTGTCCTCTGACTCATCCAATGGCACTCTTACTTTTCTACAAAAAGTGTTTTTTATAATGCTTGTTTTTTTTTTTTTTTTTTTTTTTTTGTATAGTTATTTGCGGCACGTTTTTGAAACACTGATTACATTGTTTTTTTTGCACTTGCAGGTGGGTGGAGCTGCAGTCTTGGGTGTAGGAGTGTGGACCCTGGTGGAGAAAAGTGACTACCTTAGTCTGTTGGCCTCCAGCACTTTTGCTGTTTCAGCGTATATCTTGATCCTGGCTGGCGGCCTAGTGGTTGTTACTGGCTTCTTGGGCTGCTGCGCTGTTATCCGGGAACAGAGAAGCTGCCTTTCCACGGTGAGACACGAGTTACAAGACATTCATGAGAGTTCCTGTTCAAGTCTTTCCTCCCAGTCACAATGATATGAGGGGATCGGTTAGTTTTTCATGTCTACACTGTGTGGCTTCTAACTTGTTTAATAATGTCCACTTTCTTTTTTTTTTTTTAAACCATTTACATTTACTTTTTTTTCCCCCCTAGCTAAATCTATCATATAAAGCTCAGACAAAATGTGGGATGACATAAACTTGAATGAGAGGAAGGGAAAGAAGAGGGTGGGCCTTTTTTGGGGATAATTAGCTCAACGTTTATCTCGTATGCATATGGAATAATAAGAAACTGGAAATATATGTACAGTTCAGAGTTTTGAATAAACTCACAGTCAGCAGGAATTCTATATTCATTGTGGGACTTTAATGGAGGAACTTGACTTTAAAATTCAATGAGAGTTGCTACATGGACCACCTTATTAAGCATTTTTAGCAGCTTGAGAACAGATTGTAACTTGTGAACTTGATTTGCATTCGTTTATGCTTGTGCTAAAACGCATCGTATTTGCACTCGTGAAACGTATGCAACAGTATATTGCTGCCTCAGAAGATGTAATTTTTTTGTCCTTTACTTTTATCCGTAATGTCAAACAATTCCTAAGGGAAATGTGTGTTTTAGTTTATGGCTGGTGTTAAAGATGAATATCATTAGTAAACTTGGTATGTCGTTTATATTGAAGCAGATTCCATTGTAGAATCTGCTTTGTTAATTTGAAATTGTGCCACCAATGAGTTTAATAAATTGTAGAACCAAATAATCACGTCCTTAATGCAGAGTTTGTCGAATGTAAGGCCGCTAAAAAATGGAAAAATGGAAAAAAAACATCTATACTTGCACTCCCACCGGTATCTGAGTAAATGTCTCTTGCCAAGATGCAGAACTACTGCACACTTATTGTAGCCATTAAAAACCTTCTGCTGGATGTTTAATTTTCTGATTTGGCAGTATATCCATGGATCTTGATTAGTTTATGTAAATGGAAAGAAAGATTAATAAAGATTTAAGAGATTTTAAAACCAAAATTATGATTCTTATGCTGATGGAGAGTGTATCTACTCTACCACTTGTCATTGGAGGAAGAAGGTGCTCATCAGTAATTGATATTTGCCTCTGATGCGTCAGCTGATTGGTCCTACGTTACCCTGTGAACACCTCCAACCCAAACCATCACTCTCTTGTACAAAAATGTGTGCTGCTTCTTCGCAGGAGCACAACCCGGATCTCTTCTGTGCCAACCTTGTTTTAAAGGTCTGTCACAAGATGGTAACAAATGACTCTGACGAGGCTCTCACTGTCCTCATTATTTTACAAGGAAGGGGCCCACAGGGACAGAAGCAGGTGGGAGGTGAATGTTCTCTGCTGCAGGTCTATTTATAGGTCTGCCTATCAACTGTTGATGGATGCAGGAATATGAAGAGAGCAAGGTGCTTGCAGGAGTTACGAGTTAGACGCATAGAGGATTATAGGAATATGCTGTGTTATTTGCTTTAACATGAGCAGCCTCCATGCGCTGCTTATTGGGGAATGAATAATGCTTGGATGTAGCGTTTGCTATTTTTGTTCTCACAGAAAATGACTTTTTTTTTGTAACCAAGAGAAACTGTGGTTGCTGTTAATGATACCATTGCAGCAACAAAGTGCCATTTTCTACAGGCAAGATAATTAAGTATTTACAGTTCACAGTTGTGTGAAAACATATTGGCCCCTCCTTACCTGGCAGCTTACTTTTGTTTACATCTGTGACTTCTGTCTTTTCCTTTGCCCAGGTTTGTTACACCAGAGAGTAGAAATCAGTCAGTACATAGAACAACATCTGAGCAACCCGGTTTTTGTTTTGTATTTTTATCTTCATATTTTTTAAAATCAATTTTCTCTCCTTCAAAGGTCTTTACTTGCACTCTGTAAGGCTCAAGCAAATCATCTGAGGCGTAGCTGCACAATACCAAATGTGGTTTTAAGAAATTTGGCCACCATAGTACACACGAAGGAGCTTTTTCATAATCTTCAGCTACCAGTTTCCTCCAAGAGCCACTCGGTCTGGTTAATGCTTGTTCCATAAAGTGACGTTTCTTTCTGAATCACTGCATCGCTCATCCACTTTCACTGAAAAAATGATTACCAATGCAGAGAGTCTAATGAGCCCGAGTCCACCAGTTAACCAGCGCAAGTTCACAAAGAAACACAGATGTCATCCACACCAAACACTCTCTTTTGAAACTCTAGGCTGTTTAATATCCGTTGACAGTTGCATCCCACTGAAGTGTAAAGTGGAATTTGCCTGATTTTGCCAAATTGATTCTAAACGAGAACAGTTGGGTAAAATGGTCATGTTGTTCTCCAGTAGTTCCCGTTGCATCCCTGCAGATGTTTACTACCGGTAGTTTGGCGTTATTTTGTTGGCCGCTGTGCTAACGTCTGTCTCTACAATGGGCTTTGGAGAGGCATCAGCAGAGCTGTGGTTACACCACTTTGTCCTGCTCTGACAGCTAGCTCTAATTAGCTCTGTGTGCTGGTGTTGCATGCAGGGCCCATTTTACAAATAAATGTCTTCTTTATTATATGACCCAAGAAAAGTTCAGTTTTTATCTTGCTCATTAGGCATACTTGGACAATAACTTGTTCGGCACAGCTTCTTTCAATGTGATGCCTTTTTGTTTTTGTTCACAAGTTCAGGTTTTAAAATATAATAATTTTAATTTGATATTTCAAGCAGTGTGAATGTTTTTGTTCTTTTAGTGACCAAAATGACAGTCATTATTTGGATTTGAAAAGAAAACGTTGTATATTTGCAGTTGGATTCGTGCAGGACTCATTTCGCGATTCCCCAAAGAAATCAGATTCCACAGGCTGTCGGGCTGCATTCCTACTCGTCTTATTCTCCGGCAGCATTGCCATCTGTGTCAGAAGTGACGCATGCAACCGAATGACAGATGATGGACGTTTATATTGAGCCGTCACAATTTGTAGCAGCTCGAGCTGCGGAGAAGTTGGTTCAGTTGACAACTATGTGGATGATTGTGACGCTAAAATGTCTCGATGCTTTAAAATCCTGGGACTAATTTATCAAATTTCTCTCCCCCCCCCCTTCTCCTTCTAATTTTCAGTATTTCTTCTTCCTGCTGTTAATATTCTTGATTGAGTTGGTGGCTGGCGTGCTGGCTTATGTTTACTACCAGAGGGTAAGTTCTGAATGCTCACGATGAAACTTTAAGGTGTACAGGAATGAAATGCACAAACTCAAGAGTTTTCAGATTAGGGGCATGTAATTAACACAAGAATAAAATATTTTTCTGTTTGTCAATTCAAAGAAAATTCTTTTTCTTTAATTGGAGAGGAATCATCTCTGATTATGGCTGTCAGTCAGATCAAGGGAAATTGTAGACTTCAACTTAATCCTATTTTTTTTAGTTACAAAAGCAAACAAACAAACAAAAAAAACAACAACAACTTTGTACTTGTTGCCCCAAGATTCAGTATTTTGCCGTTTTGGGTACGCTCAACATGTTTGAGAATAAATCACCTATAGAACACACTCGTTAAAATAAGTGTCTTCTTTGCTCTCATTTTGTGCCTCTTCTTCTTCTTCTCCTTGTATTTATATTTTTTTTTTTATAGCTGAGTGATGAACTGAAGGAGCACCTCAACCAAACAATGACTGAGAATTATGCTCAGCCAGGGAAGGAGACGATCACATCCGCAGTGGACAGACTGCAACAAGACGTATGAGAGATATATGGAAGTTAATCTCTGTGGTTGAGTTTATGTCTCCACTTGCTTCCTCTGTCAGCAAGCATAACCAAGTACACTTGCTGTTAATTACATGGATGTAACTTCAAACTTTGCCTAAAGACGTTGTAAAACTCATGATTCTGTGGCTGTCGTTGTGGTCGACGTAAGTAATTGTTCCAACGCAATCCAGAAATTCAATCAGTGTAATCTTAATGAAGCAGAAGATTAGCTGTCAATTGGAGGGATTATATAAACCTAGAAAATTATGGTGCTGGGAGATGAGTTGCACCAAAAAAAAAAATAAATAAAAAAAAATGCATATATATTTTTATCCTAAATCGGTTTTTCATGTTCCGATGCGTTAGGTCGACACCAGCCAACCCCTTGCTTTATTTTTCTGCTTCTCCAGTTCAAGTGCTGTGGCAGCAACAACTCTCAGGATTGGACGCTGAGTGTGTACATTAGGTCAGAGCGGTCGGGGGGCAGGGTGGTGCCCGACAGCTGCTGTAAAACCATTACGGCCGACTGTGGCAGGAGGGACCATCCGTCCAACATCTATAAAGTGGAGGTGAGTGTTCGTCTCCTCATGGAAAGGTGGTGAGTGCCACCCTAACTGTTTATTGGCTTCCCTTGTAAATGACTTCTTTAACCTTCTCCAGGGTGGTTGCATCACTAAGCTGGAGCAGTTCCTTGCAGACCATCTCTTGGTTATTGGAGCGGTGGGAATTGGTGTGGCTTGTCTTCAGGTAAGTAGAACATGACGGTGTGGTAATGCTGTGCAGAGAAGCGGAATACTGCTGTCCGCGGAAACAACAACAACAACAACAAAAATCGACCTTAATCAGACTTTATTGTCTAAAATAACGAGCCTCTGGCCTCTGTTGAATAAAGACCTTACACAACGCTGATGGACGGGCTTTTAATCTTTCCATTACTGAAACTCTAACATGGCAGGTCAGAAACCTTTGTATATTAGTGTTTTTCCATTTTACACTGATGAGTCTGCTTCATCATCGGCCCCTTTTTATTTGTTCCACGCTGAAATGGAGCCCTGCTTTTAAACGCCGTGAAGCTGTTTGATGCATATACTCTGATCTGCCATAGCATTCTGTTTACCCCATGCAAAAACACTTCTGATGAGAGCATCAACAAAAAACATTCAAAAGTGCTCAAATGGATCCTTTGAGCTTTATTGTTTTGATGAATGATGGACTCTCTGTCCAATAGGCTTACTTTCTAGGGTACAAAAATGTTTAAGGTGAAGAGTAATGCTACATTTTATTGTTATAAGATGAAGTGATTTTCAAGCTGGTGGTCAGTAGGAACATAAAAAAAAAACCTTATGTAGTATTGTGTTTGTTTTTTGGAACTTGTCTGCTTTCCTGTTGATCAGCAGCATCTTATTAGTCTGTGGCCACCATGCCCTTTTTCTTGCTCTCAAAGAAAATTTCTGGCCCATTCTGCAGTCTGCTCAGTTTTAATTGAGTATCAGAACAGTAATGGAAAAAAAAACAAAAAAAAACAAACATAAAAATACGAGGCCTGAATTGCATCCGAAGCAGTGAAGACTTGAAATGGCAAAAGATAAGATGTTTCATTATCGATGGAATTTTACTCATTTCCGTTCCGAAATGAGTAAAATTCAGCTTTCCATTTACTGTTGCCATAAAAAGTGTTTCATTCCAAAAGCACCAAAATGGACAGTGCCGAGCTCAAAAAGAAGAGGTTGATTATGAAGAACATTCTATGTGCAACCCTTTATATGGGATCGATTCATCGGGTTTTTCAGAATTCTTTAGTATGTGAACTAAAGTATAGAAGAAAAATGTAGTGTAGGAAAAAAAAGCACTGCAAACTTTTTATCTTTAAATTTATCACTGTATGCAATCGGAGCTAAAAAAAAATAAAAATAAAAAATCCAACTTGTCCGCAATCAAAACGTATGCTTCACTATCGGTCATTTTTTGTATGCAACTGTTCCACTAGAAAATACAAATGTATTTTTCTCGCAATGACATGGTAAGTGCTCTGCCGTGCTCCAAGTCTATACTCAGGGTTCCTATGTATTGGGGTGAACTTGTAAACAAATTTGATTTGATAATTTTCCATGTACAGCACAGAGTGAGCAGATTTTTATTTTCTGCTGCCTAAATGTTGGATTATTTTACTTCTTTTTCCATATTACAACCTGTGTTTTTTTTTCATCAAACTCTTAGAGAAAATCTATAAACACTGGAGCCAAAGAAGATGTTACTACATGATATCTGTATATGATGCCTGTTCGGGTCTGTTGACCGTTTTTTTTTTTTTTTTTTTTTTTTCCAAATATGAAATTTGAATTTGATCTGGTAAAAAAAAATGTATTCTAAGTAACCTTCTGCTAGTAAAAATGATCCATTGCATAACAAGATTTCCTAGTCACTCAATGAGCACAATTTAGAAAATTGCTTCAAAACATTGCTGTTTTATGTTTTGTGGAATTTGTCCAGATTGTTTGCAGAACTGCTTTAAGTTTAGAAATATGGATTTTTGAGTTGGACTTATGTGAACTTTGCTGTTTATTAATCCAAACCTTTCCATTCCAAAAAATTGTTTTTTTTCTTCGCGGCACATCCTTACGTCATCGCTCATCCACTCTAACCTTTTGTCTGTTACTTAACATGGCAACATAATTTTTTTTGTCTTGTTTTTTATGTTTCATGTTAACCCAGCAACTGTATTACATTATTCTAACTTATGTGCATTGCAAATGTCTTTCTTTTGTATGTTTGGTTTCACTGTAGCTCGCCGGGGCACTCTTGACAGCCTGCTTTATCTATCTGCTCTATAAGGAAGAGGAAGAGGACTTTGGTGCATTGTAATTTGGCTCTAGAGCTCCGTGGTGCTTTTAATCAAATGGATAGACAAGGTTGGAAGGTGCTGTGTGGATATTCGCCTGCATGTTTGCCCTTGTTGGCATGCATGCTCTGTGCCAGATAGAAAATCTGCAGTCTGCATGCACACAGAATGGCATCCATTTTGTTGATTTTTTTTTTTTTATATATATTTTTGTCTTTGTGCTGTTTAAAGCATGCATCTGCATGGCTTTATACGAAAATACGCTGCTAATACATGTTGTTGTAATGGGGAGTCATGGAAAAAAAAAAAGGCTGCCAGTAAATGCCTTAGTTAGAACTGTGTATTCCCATAGTTAATGGGAAGTAGTTTGTCTGTTTTCACACAGCTCAATGCTTTAAAATGCCTTTGTTGTCAGAAAGGGGAAAGCTACAGTAAATGAATTGAAGCAAATTAAGTATTCGGAAATTTTTACTTTATTTAATTTTTTTCATAGGGGAATTAATTTTTCTATGAACCGTGTTTGACTCTACACATCATGAATTGCATTGACTTGTGTTTTTCAGCTGCTCTCGGTGCACCTTTACCTCAAATTTACCTCTACCTGAACACGGCAAACAGATGAAATCGCACAAGTAGCTGTGAACGTCAGTGCATGTCAGACGTCTCTCTTATGGTGCGCCTAACACAAAATCACGAAAGTACAATGATGATCTTGTGGAGTCGTTTTGTCAGGGATTCCAGTAGAAATGATCCAAAATGCCCTGCTTTAGAGCCCATTTGGATCAGAAAAATGATCACCTAAAAAAAGTTTTTTAAGTAAAGCATTTCTGCTCTCAGAATTTGAAAGTTGCTACAAACAGATGCCATGTAAACGGCAGTCCATTACTTGCTTGACTTTCAGGGCTTTAAGAGGCTCAAAAATGGCTTGCCTGATCATCAGGATTTAAATGACAACCGTTGGTTTTAGACTATTTCTGTAATAGTCATTTAGTGTAGTACTTTTGCACCTAGGGACATACGGTGTCCCACTCGGTGGCACTGTTGCCCCTCAGTAAGAAGAACCCTGGAAATCTTGGTCTAGGATCTTTCGGCACAGAATTTCATATTCCTCTTCCAAGTGTAGCTTTTCTCTGTGCACTTTGGTGCTGTCCAAAGACATGACTGGTCGGTTGACCTGTCCAGGGTGTACCCCGCCTGCCAAACGGCCGCCCGAAATGGGCACTGACCCACCATGATCCTGCAAAGAGAAGCTAGTGTAGAAGATCGATGGATTGATTTTAACTTTCTGCTCATCTGCAAACTAGGACCTCATTTTCACAAACTTGTAAGTTGCAGTTTAGTCAGAATATCTCGAGTTACTTAAAGGTTTCGAAAAAGCAATCAAAGTGCAGATATGTGTGTCTGAATACATATGCACACTTCCCCACCACCTCCGGCTTCATTTAAAAAAAAAAAAAAAATTATTTATTTTTTTTATGCAAGCTCGTGCGCACATGCTGATGTTGCGGTAATGACTGCTTTGGTCCATCCCCCCGTTGCCACAGTAACCAGCTTCATACTTTCAACCATCACCTTTTAACCCTTTACTGCTCTGGAGTCGACAGCTTTAAATCTTCCCACAGTCTCCCATGGAGAGCATTTGACTTAACACTTGCTGTTTTCAGATCTGTGGGATGGTGTTCACCTGCTGCTTGCACAGGAGGATTAAGATGGATCCTTACTAAGGCGTGCAAGACCCCAACAAAACCACCGGTAACATGCAGATGTGGCAAAGCCTGCCGACACCCGACTTCCACATCTGGATCTGGGATTAACAATCGGAGAATATAAGTGAAGTTTACAAGCAGCACCGTCAGAAACTGATTAAGCCATTGAGTCTTATGTTCTACGAAAAGAGGATATATTTATTTGGCTTACATGCATGATTTAAATGGAGATGAACGATTACCTTCTGTAACTTATGCAAAAATAAAGACTTGCCTTTACCCCCCCACCCCCCTTACTTCTTAATACAGTATCCTCAGTCTTTGAGAGCAAACAAGCATTTATAAAAGACACTGGCTGCACTTGTCATTGTTTATGAAGACATGGAACATAATGTGCCTTTTTTTTTTTTACAGGATTGTGTTGATGAATAATTATGTGCCGAGTGCCTTGAAGCTTTAAAGGAAATCTGACAACACAACATGGTAAAGCGTATATTTATGAGTGGTTAGCTAAATGTTTCCAACAAGACTACAATGCTGAGTTTTACACGATTAATCAAAGTTAACTCGTCAGAGTTGCAACACTCCCAAAGTCAGCCCGCAAGTTATTTCTTGCAAAAATGTTGACACATTTTTGAAGGTAGAACTCCACCTAGTGGACGCAGCTCTCAATTTAAAAACAAGCCACGGTTTTGTAAAAAGACATTACGGATGGTAATCTGGTTTCATTTCATAAAATGTTGATTTTGAAATTATTGTGATATCTACATTTTTACATTAAAGCAAAAAAAAAAAAAGGGTTTCATTTAATTTAATCTTTTTTTTTTGTCATCGTTATACTTTCTGGGGTAGATATGAGTATTTTAAATTAGAAACGTGTTCCTCATTGTTACTGTCTGTAGTTGTAATCATTATCATTTAATCTCATTAAAAGAGTTTGTCATTGCCAGTGTTGCATTTTATTTAAGGGTACTAATTTATCAGTATTGTTGCTAATGAAACTAGTAAAACTCTGGCATGTAGTTCCTGCTGAGTTTTTGACCAATATAATCGTTTTGAAGCTTATAAATGAAGTTAAAAAGAAATTGTTGCATTAACTTTTTAAAGAAGTTAACACCACTGCTGGTTTAAAGATGATTGCATATTTTCAAATATCTGTTGGGTAGTTAATAAAATAATTGGTACAATAATATAATTAGTTTATTTATCAGGGTTAATTCAGAAGGTATTAAAATCCTGTTTCCTCTCGTCTGAGTAGTGTCTTCATTGTAACCACTAGAGGGCGACAAAGACTTTTTGTTTGAATTTAGAACACCTTTTCACCTAATCTGTCACCTTGCATGGATTGATCTCATTGTAAAAACACTTCTCAGAAGTGATAGAAATCCTTAACTCTTCTTGTTTTTCTTTTTAAAAACTCTTCTCTGCTCTATCCATACTGTATACACTGGTTTTGTTTTATTTTTTAAAATGTGTTTACTTGGTTTTAGTTGGTGCAATACAGCAAAACAAACATCCAGATGTTGCATGCACCAAGGCAAACTTCCCCCCGCCCCACCTCCTGTTTCCTTTCATTTATTTATTTTTTGTTCATTTAGTATGGACTATTATGCCCTTTTTGAAACCGTAGTAGTTGTCGAAAAAGTGATGTTGATTCTGTAAATCTTGCGATTGCTGTTTGTGTGTCTTGACCAATGGCAATATCCTCTTAGAGACTTGAGCTCTAAGAGGATAATCTTTACACCTCATATCTCAGATTATTTTGTGAAAACAGTGTTTGGCTACAAATGTTATAGTAAATCTGTAACTTCTTTCCATTGGGGTTTTTATTGTGAAAGCAAATCTTCCTTTTTCTTCCATGCTAAAAGAAATATCAACATGCTCTGCAGCTGATTTAGTTTTCTGCAATTTGCTTTTGCTGTATTCTAATTTTTTTTCTGTTTCCTACTCAAACCTGCCTAACACTTAATGCTGTGAACATTTTGTAAGTCCCTCTCAAATGCTTTAAACTTTTTTATTCACATTTTGACCCGTTACAACCACATACCTGAATGTTTTTTTTTTTTGTTTTGTTTTTTTTTTACTGGGATTTTGAGGTAGAACATGCATGCCACTCTTGAATAGAAAGTCGTTAAACGTTCCTGTTTGCAGCTGTGGCAGAGATGTAGCAAACATGTGGAAGATGGTTCCACATGTTTCAATTTTGGCCTTTTCAGATAAAGACCAAAACTGAATTTCTGACCAACATGTCAAACACTGCATGGCTTTTTATCCAACTCTCCACACCATCCATGGTGAAACAAGGTGGTAGCATCTTTTTTTTTTTTTTTTTTTTTGCCATTAGGAACCAATGTTTTTGACTTTAATGTGATTTGAAATGTAAAAAAATTTCCAAAGATGTGAACAACTGAATGTATGAAACGGTCATAAACATATTAAAAAAAATATAAAGGAAATTTACTGACGAGCCATCACCGGTTTTAAATCATTCTGAATGTTTTGCCTTAGGTGAGGAAACCTGTTGGCGTGTGCTGACAATTTCAAGATACAATTTTTATTTTGTCATTTTAAAGATTTTTTTTAAATTTTTTATTTTTTACAGCAAATTTGTATAATGAAACTTTTGCCATATTATTCAGTGTGAAACGCTATGATTGATATTCATTTCTAAGGTTTTAGGACAGTTATTGACTTTTCTCAGACAAAGTAAACTTGATGCATCCTCATTGTTTGCCTTGTGCTTTTGCCTTTTGACCTTGCTATTATTGGAACTTTTCCTTCCTTCTTTCCCTTCCGGCTCCAGATATCTTGCGTGACTCTGTATCTGTTCTGGGCCATCTGTCATTGTCACCCATTTAGCAAAAAAAAAGGGACACACTTTTAAAAGATTCTGGATGTTTTCCAGCATTTTCTGCTTCAGTCCCCTTTTGTCTTCATCTTCTGTCGGAGGATGTCACCCGTTTCCTGCGAATGTCATTCATATTACGCTTCAGAGCCACTGACAAGATAGAAACACAGCAAGCTGAGAGCCTGTACGCATTAGCATGTGGTCTGTACCCTCTGCCAAGACAGAACAGAAAGAGAATTGGGAGCAGCTGGAGATTTCACCACTTCCCATGTAATGCGGGCCTCTTTGCATCAGAAGCGTACACACAGCACACCCTCCTTGTTTTCAACACACTGACGCCGCAGGGCTGATATTTTACTGGGAGAGCTGAAGAAGTTGCTCAAGTACACTTTGTTCTATAGTTTTTAATTGGTGAGACGGTATATTTTTCTTAGCTAGGACAACATACAGATAAACCAAAGAGCGCCTTTGACATGTCAGCCTGTTGTAGCACCATTGAGTTATGATACTTTTTTTTTGGTGCATTTTAAAACATTCTTCAGTTCCTGGTACCTGCACCTGTATTCAATATGTGCTGAGGCATGGCTTCAGTCGTGATGATTGAGTGCTGGGGCGCCTGTGGAATAATATGCCGAGAAAGAACCTCTGTAACACGTTTTCTCGTATAAGAGAAGCTTATAACAGAGTCTGTAGATCTGTTTGATGTCATTTGATTAATTTTGTGGCCATTGTTCTTGTTTACATGCCTTGAGAGCAATGGGAAAATATGGTTAGGTCACTGCCTGAAGCCAGCTTTACGTAAATATTCATATAACGTTTGCCACATATTAAACGGTTCAAAGGCGGCTTGAAATTCAAGGAAAAACACAAAAGAGCGATTTTGGAAAAATTAGATCAAATTTCCATTTATCTGCCCTGCAACCGTTGCATTTGCCACTCGCTCCTTCACAGACTCATCGACGTACCAAGGACTATACTACGCAGTCCAGAAACCGCAAAGCCCAGTTCAGGCTAGACCAAAACCAGGTCTGTGTTTGATTTGGTCTTTAAGTCTCACTGACCGCCACACTGTGACTCACTTCTCGACCAGTTTGCCCCTGGCCTGCAACACGTTAGCTCTGGCCACTAATGTGCTTGAGAGATCTCTGCAGGGATCAAAAGGGACGTAAAGGAGATGGAGTTGTTCAGATGACCTCGGCACTGTTCCTCAAGATGCAGAAAATGTAAACCACGGCATCAATATAATTTGAAACCTTAAAGCTGTCCTCATTGAGAAGGAATTTCAATGTGTTTTTGGGATTATTGTCCATTCAGAACAAAGAGTGCCTAGTAAAAAGTTGTAATGGTTGCAAGTTGCAGTCTGGACCTTCCACAACGGCTCTCAACTTTGACAAAAACAATAAAAAAAAAATCCAACTAACGTAATGTGATATTGACACAATTCTTAAAAATGCAGGTTTTAATCGAAGGTTCAGTGTGGAATAATTGTATTGAATTTCAACAACGCTGTGACACAAAGTACCAATAACATTGTGAGGGTGTATTTTTCTTGTCATTAGGGTTGTAAACGATGAGCTACTCTAACATCTTTGACCACAAATGTCAGTATAGGAAAATAACACCCATCCTCTTTTTGCAAAATGTATGTTTGTTCTTTATTATTCAACCCCAAAATAGATGTCACGTTCTAGTATTTTTGCAGTTATGGCCGCCCTGAGCCGTGGTGGTTTCTGGAATGTTCTTGATTTTCCTAACCTAGCTAATCAACAACCAACACATCAGAACCACAGGGAAAAAAAAACTAAACAAAATTGTACAAAACAAAAAAGCCCGAAAGAGGAATTCAAAATGTTTTTAAGTGTAAGGAAAGCATAACTCCACAAGTAATCCAGAGACGTTTCCCACTGAGGCAGAATTGACTCTGCCGAATCCCAGAGTTTTATTGGGATATTTAAATACGAGTTAGTAATTTAGAATGCAAGCCTACCCCAAGTACCGCAGTGTTTCTAACATACTCCCCGGCTCCCCCGCAGTTGAGAGAGTTGTGGTTTTCTAGAATATGCATGTGTATGTTTCACTGTGTGTGGGCGGGTCTGCGTCCATGGGAGAGTGGGTTCAGAGGCAAACAAACTTCACAAAGTGTTTCATGACGAGTCCTCTGTCTGATAACGATGATGAGCGCCGTATTGATGAGGGCGTCGAGCGATGCCAACCAGATGTCGGGGGGGTGGGGTGCGGCGAGGGGGGTGGTGGTCAGGAGGTTTTCACAGCTTAACTGTGATGTTGGAGCCACTACAACACATACCATGGTGGTTCTCTGGTGAACCAGTGATTCAGTGGGGCTCTGTTGAGATCCCTGTTCAAAAGAAGATGTGCTTCATTACTCCTGTTATGCATTCTGAAAAAAAAAAAAAAGCTGGCTTTTAAATTAGCATCTCTACACAGTGTAGGCTTGCTCTTTGGTGTTTGTGTAACACGTCCTTTGTGCTACATAGATGGCTGTGAGTTGTGGTTTGAGATCATGTGTGCTTACTCTATAATGTACTTAACTGATTTGCTTCCCAGCGATGATCATAGAGAAGAGTCTGTGGGATCACGAATTGGTCTGAAAATGATTACTCTGGTTGCCTATGTGTAGCCAGCAAATCTGTAAATGCAGAGGAATGTCGTGCTTCTTGCTTATTGGGGATACTGGACCCTTTTTTTAAATCGTAGCCTGTTTGACATATACTGATTGTGTCTGTATGGGTTCGTTGCTTTGTCTTTTTATTATTACGTAGTTTGGAAAAAAAAATTAATCGTAGTACGACACCTGATTTTCATGGTCTGCATGAATATAAGAGGAGCAAATGGACTTTACATATTGCATCCATCCATAGTTTTGGTTCTTCGGTATGTCCATATACTCTTCCATTCATTCATCTGCTGTTCCGTCTGTCCATCCACATGTTACCCTTTCATTCATCTATCCATTCACTCAAATGTCCATCCATCAATGGATTCACCCACCGGTTCATCTCCATTTATGTATTTTATTTAATTTTTTTTGCAAGTTGCATATTAATATGCCAGTGTTTTTTTTTTTTTTTTTTTTTTAATAA